GAAAGAAAGAAAGAAAGAAAGAAAGAAAGAAAGAGAAAGAAAGAGAAAGAAAGGAAGGAAAAGAAAAAGAAAGAAAGAAAGAAGAAACAAGAAAGAAAACAAGAAAGAAGAAAATAAGGAAGGAAGGAAGGAAGGAAGGAAAAGAAAGAAAGAAAGAAAGAAGAAAGAAAGAAAATAAGAAAGGAAGAAAATAAGGAAGGAAGGAAGGAAGGGAGGAAGAGAAAGAAAGAAAGAAAGAAAGAAAGAAAGAAAGAAAGAAAGAAAACAAGAAAGGAAGAAAAGGAAGGAAGGAAGGAAGGAAGGAAGGAAGGAAGGAAGGAAGGGCGTCATGAAAGGCTCCCTTCGCACCAGGCACCTCGACTTAGGAACACTTGTCACAGTGGTGATTCTACATTTGTCCCTGTAATTACTGTCCATCTCCCCAACCAGACTTCTAGCTCTACATGGGCAGGGCCTATGGCCATCTCATTAACTGCTGTCTGCCCAGCACCGAGGCCTATGCCTGGCACGTTGCAGGTTCTCTACAGATATTTGCTGAATGAAAAACTCCAAGACCCGGCCACCTCTGCAGCTAAGCTCACTCACCTCTTTGTAGCCAAATACAATGCGGCCGTCTTGGTGCAGAGCTGCCTGGAAAGTGAAGCTGCCTCTGTCTTCCCGGCCTTGGAGGTAGACGTGGTCCCACTGAACAATAAAGACCGTCCCTAGGGAGGGGAGCAGAGACCCGGCTGGACAGGAAGGTAGTGCAGGAAGGAGGGCCCCGCGGAATCGGCGGCCCACATAGGTCTGAGGGTGATTGGGTGCTCAAGGGACAATCTGGTGAGAGTAAGAAACAACGAAGGTCTCTGATATTTGTCACCTCTGCTAAGAGCCAAGCACTTTTCTTTTGTTATCTCGTCAGACCCTGCTAGGTAGCAGGCATCTTGTTGCCATCTTCTAGATGAGGAAATTGAACACGGGAAGGTGGGGTGGTGGCCTTGCTGTGTGACCGTGGGTAAGTGCCTTGTCCTCTCTAGACTTTGGGCTCTGCTAAAGGGGCTGTGCCCTGGAGCCAGGTGACTTAAACTCTGAGATCTGTTCTCACCATTGTCAAAGTAAGCGACTGTTGAGTTGTCAGAGTAGCCAGGGTTGAAGTTGGCCATCAGAGGCGCCACATACTGAGTAGCCGTGAGCATCCGGTGGATCGTGTCACCCATGAAGATGAAGCCTGGGGTGCGGACAAATGCATAGAAGTCACTAGAGAAGGCCTAGAGAGGTTGCTTCCTTATGCAGGAAGGGATAGTGCAGGTGGGGCTGGAAGAGAATCTTGGACCTCTGTCCCCAACCCCCACCTGCTGAGCTCTTGGTCTGGTGTGTGGAGCAAAAGGGCCCCAGACCAGAGAAGGTTCTCCCTGCCCCTCCAGGTGGGCACAGAACTCCCACCTCTCCCTGTCCCTGGGAAAGGGCACAGGAATCAAAGATGGGCCCCTCATCTCGACAAGGAGCCTGATCCCAAGAATCACGTTCTCGTGAAGTCTCCTCCTCTCTCTCATTCACAGACTCAGAAGCTCAGGGACCACAGGCATTGCCCACGCTAGCCTGAGCTGACCCAGAGGGACACACACACACACACACACACACACACACACACACACACACACGGGCAAGTCAGCCAACATCAGGAAGGTGGTCCAACACACACACACTGTTCTCTCTCCTGAGAGTGAGGTCCCGAGAGAGCCCAACGCGGTACCCTCCCCAGTCTCTCTATACACCCCTGTCTCCAATAAACCTCCCCAGGTAGGTCCCTCACGTTCTGGCTGAGACTCCAAATCTCCCCCAGTCCTACCAACACAGCCTTACCTCCGGTTGCTATGGTGATCTGCCGCAGAGGATGACCGTAGAAAGGAAAATCAAAGGACAAGACCACTCTCTGCAGGGCACGGGAGAGAGTCAGCATGGGCCATGCTGTAGGCCAGGAGGCTGGGCGCCCACACTGCCCCATGCTTGTCTGGACAACGTAGGGGGCAGGCACGTCCAGGGCAAGCCCCCAGGACCACAGGTGGCCACCTTAACTCTGGCCACCGCCCCCCCTCCCAGGGTTCCCCGGAACGCATCTCCCAGATCACAGACCTCAGGTCACAACCATGCCCACTGAGCGGGCATGGAGGGTTGGCCCCCAGCCTCCCAGCCCAGGGCAGTGCTGCCAGGGTCTGGCACACTCACCGAAGCCTGCCGGTGAGTGTTGGAGAGGATTCTGTGGACCTTCACTTGGCTCTGGTTGGCCTTGGCCACGTCTACCCACAGCTCCCGGCTGCGGGGCTCGCTGGGGCCGTACAGACGGGACACATAGTAGCTGTGGTTGTCTTCCTGCCACAACCAAGACAGAGCCCACAGGAGGTATGAGGAGCAGGTGGCCAGGAGCCATCCTCTGCTCCTCCCCCCCCACACATGCGAAGTCACAGCCCTCCCTGACACTGGGCCTGTAGCCTCGAAGGCTCGTGTAGGCCTGGATGTCCTGGGCTCCCCTTGGCCCCAGACGACAGCTCAGTACCAAGCCCCTAGCCATGCCCCAACGGCTCTGGCCCCAGCCAAATCCACACCCGCTGTACCCACGCTTAGCCCTGCCATTCCCAGACAGGCCAGGAGGCTTTCCCTGTGGCCCCTGAGTACCCACAGAGCACGCCCAAGGCAGAGCTCAGCTTGGGACATGAGGGAGAGACGGACAAGGCAGCCCCAAACAGAGCTCTTGTCTTTGGGGAGCCCCCGGACTGAAGGGGAGACCCAGTCCTTGCCCTGCGGTTACCCTGCTTAAGGAAAAAGAAAAAAAAAAATGAATCTTAGAAGCCACCAGCCCAAAGATGGAGGCCGACCCTTGATCTTGGGAAATCGCTAGTCTGATGGAGGAGGTGGGACTTATGCGAATGGAACACACAGACACAGACCTTCCCGCAGAGAGAAAGGGTAGAGAAGCAGCAATGGTTCCTTCGAGACATATTTTTAACTTCTGCTACGCGCCCGATGCGGGGAGGATAGAGAACAAGCCAGAACGCGGCAGGCTGGGAGTTCATTCTGTAAAGCCTCTTCTGCACGGGAGAATTTAGGGCCAGGACTTTTAAGAGGACAGGGAATAGTTAGCAGAAAGGGTGGCAGGGCCAGGGGAGGAGGCGATGTCACAGCATTTCAGCCCATCTGGGAGCACCAGCCACGGGGGGAAGGAGGCAGAGCAGGCTGGTTCGCTTGGCTGCCGCTGCCGAGACGGGGCTGCTGACCCGTGAGGAGACCTGGACGCGGCGGGTCATTAATCAGGCTGTCCGGTGGCAGTGGCTGCAGACACATCAGAGCAGACCATGTTGTCCCTGCCAAGCCGCCAGCTGCCCAGCCAGCTCTTGCCCCGGGACCAGCATGAGCAGGGACGAGGGATGCCTGTTCTCTCCACCCGCCAAGAGGCAGACTCTGCTCTTCTGACAAGTGACATGCTCTGGGGACCTGGGGTCAGGGCAGGGTGGGGGGGTGGG